TATTTATTATTGATAAATAATATATTATAATAATAATCAATATATTATTATATATTGATAAATAATATATTAATAATAATTAATAATTATCAATATAAATATTTATTAAAGATCATTAAAGTTATTGATCAATATCAATATTTTAGAGAGATATTTATTAATTTTTACAAATATAGTGATGATTCTTAATGAATATCTCTCCAAAAAATTTTCTAATGATATTATTTCTGAAATTAATAAGTTATATCAAGAAAGATATTATCTTTAAGAAGACATATCAAAATTATATATATTCTTGAAGATACAGATATAATAAGAAAAGAAAAGATATTTATTATAATAAATATGAGCAATCTGATATGATAACATATAAAAAAGAATGGTTAAAGTAAATATTTATATACAAGAAAAGTATGAAAGATTTTAATAGTGATATATTAGATACTATAATAGAATTCCAGCTCAAGTAAAAAAAAGAGTTTATTCAAGTAATACATAATAAATATTACTTCTATTTAAATAATAGTTAATAGAGAATCTGAATCTAAGAAGAAGAGAATATCTTATACTTAAAATACTTGGAATGTTCTATTATAATTTTAACTTTTTTATGTTTATATCATGATCTATTATAATTATTCAAGTAGTAATTGCAAGTTAATTCATATATTAAATATCAAGAATCTTTTGTTCTTTACTCTATTCAAGAAGATGAATATTAAAAGTTAAAGTATATATTAGATCAGGTTTGAACTTTTTTTATTTTTTGAATTTTAAGCTAAAAACTAATTATTTTTATAAATAAAGTTTATATGTTAAGTAATACTGATATTTGAGATATTACACTCTGAATATATTAATATTTTTTATTTTAATTAATCTACTAATCATAATGATATGGTAGCAGATGCACTAATTATGATAAAAATGAATTTAAGTTCTAAAAATATATAATCTAAAATATATAATAATTGATATATTAACAAAAATAAAGAAAGATATGTATAATTAATATTATTTTCTGATTATTATCTGATCAAAAACTAAGAAATTAATTCAAAGATATTAAGCAAGTACTTATAAAATATAATTTTTAATTATCAAAGAAAGTTCATTTGGTATATAAGAAATACTTAGAGAAATATGATAATCTGATGAGATTAGATTATTATATATAAAAAATTTTGTCATTTCAGCCTGATTTTTATAAATAACAATCAATATTATATAAAGTAATTGTGAACACAAAATATATTTTTGAATGTTATCCAAAATTTCATTATGAATATAATTTCATAGAGTGATATTGAGAATTTTTAAAATGGAAAATCAGATATCTATATAACTATAATTATATATGCTTATTGAATCAGATTTTTGAAGTTCTTAATAGTGTGTTTATAAATATAATTTATAAATTCATATATAAATAGTAGAGATATATAGATGTATATAATAAAGAGTTAGAGAGTAGAGTTGTTGAATAGATCATAAATAAATTTAAATTATATAGATAATTATTAGAAAATATTGAGAAAATAATAGAAATTAAGTATAGAGAAGTGAATATGGGGAAAGAAGAAAATAAATAAATATTGATTATTTATAATAGTGAAATAAATATGAGAAGAAAAGATAATAAATAAATATTAATAGCAATATCTTATTATTATAATATATCAATTGCATAATGATTAAATTAATCTTATTATTAAAATATAAATTATTATATTACATATATATATTTTATATGATATACTGATTTACATTGCATGTAGCAATTTAAAATAAAATTTTGAGTTAAGACTTTTGGTATCATAGTATAATTAATTTCATATTTTTCACTTAAGCTAATTATCTATCTTATGTAATCTATTTATAGTAATTATGAGAGTTATATATATTTAGAAATTTAAATCTATTAGATTTAGTTTTATATTAATAGTTAAAACTTGATTTTTTTGTGTATTTAAAATATAATGGTTATTATAAATATTTAGAATTTTTAAATTTATATATAAATTATATGATAAAGAATAAATAGAATTTTGTAAAATTTGTCAAATATATATTTTTTAATATAAAGAACAAAGTTACTTAAGATATATTGATATAATATCTTATTAAAAATATCATTAAATAATAAAAACTAAAAACAGTCACAAAAGTAGCTAACTTTATATCTTTATTAATTATTTAATGAAAAAATGTCAGAATTATATTAAAATTTATAAATATCTTCTTTGTAATATAATAAATAACTTCATTTATAATAAAGTAATAGGATTATTTAATATTATTTTTAATAATATAAGCTTAATCTTTATTGGATCTGACTTATTTTTTTATAATAAATTTTACTGAGAAAAGAATAATAATAATTAATAATAATTAATAACAAGTCTGTAAAATATTTAAATCAAACTTGTTTTACAGGTTATAAAGAAGATATATCTAAATTATCCAGCAATTTTGACAATTTTTCATTATTCTATGTGCTATATCAAAAATTCTAAATATTTATGATGACTACTATGGCTTATATTAAAGACTTAATAATATATAAAATGGCTGAATTACATGAAAAATTATCTTAATATATTGGCTTTAAACCTGAAGAAATCCATCTTTCAATCACAAAAGAAGATAAATAATTTTTTCAGGAATTAATAGCAAATCAGAAAGAGATGATAGATATTATAATAAATGAGTAGGAGATTCCTTAATCCATATAATGTGGGTATATATATGTACTGAAAAAGATGCTAAGTATTGAAAGAGATATCTCCATCAAAGATATTATCAAGAAAGATATTGGTCCATATTGAAAAAAGATTCAAAGATTTATCACTTGTGCCAGTAATTATAGTTGATTAATTTGATTTATCAATTGCGCAATACATCTTAATATTTCTGATAATTTTTTATTTACGATTTTCATTGTTGTAACGAATTGTATAATTTATTTGTGGTAAATCTATTTCGGGGTGGATCTACATTTGGAATAATGTATAATCTATTTCGGATGTATTACAAGTATATCGATATGATTTAATTTTCTGGCAATAGGGATGTATATGACATCTGAGATTAACAAATCCGAGATATGTAATTTTCTACCAGATCTCATACAAAATTTCGGATGTAAACCAATTCAAATATTTTTTGAGAGACACGAAATAGAAATGTACAGAAAATGGTATGAACTCTGGTTGAAGTTTGATTAAATTATTGCTTTACATTCTCATAATGAATATATAATAAATTATAAATTTGGGTTAAACTAGGGTAGAACTCTGGTTGAACTCTGGTTAAATAGAAATATAGAGTACCATAACCTCGGAAGAAATCGAAACGTATTTTAGAATAATATTGCAAATGGAGTCAATCAAGAGCATAATACCAGTTTTACTGGCTATCATTGTAAAGAAAAATTTTCGAATCTTGTGAGGAGTTATAATATAAGTTTATACTATAGTAATGCTTATAGCTAGACCATTTCACTATTAACAAAAAATTAATCCACTAGGCAATGTGTGAATATATGGCAGGTAGTCGTAGAGCATGGAGAAATCGATTGGGTACGCAATACTTTGATGAATTTCGTACGCATTTTTAGGAGAGGTCTGAAGATGATTTCGATAGAATTCGTAACATGAATAGTTCTAACCGTAGACAACGAAGAATTGGGGGGAATAATATACCCGCACCATCTACCAGGAAGTTGAACATGTATTAGGTCAAACATCACCAGGTAATCGAAGAAGCTGAAGAACTTCCGTTGATAGTCGAGTCGTAGACGGTCAGCATCCCCCTCTCATAATCCTAATGTTGGAAATGCGGGAATTCCTGAAACATTATCTCCTCAACCACCACCTTATGGAGCCACAGATGAAGTACAAAATAATAATTCTAGCCACGAAGTAGCTGTCTCCGGCAATATGCCCTCATCGCATGATGTAGTAGGCAATCAACCACTCTCTCATATGGAATTAATTAACGAGGAAGATAGATAATTTCGATACAGTAGCTATAATCTGGCTTCGAGTTCAAAGAACGAGAAGGCGGGGGTAAACGCCAGAAAAAATAAAAATAAATTCGGAAAAAAGACCAATTAGATCTGATTGCTTTATTAATACAATATAAAATACATGAGGCGGTAAAACTATCTATCCACTATCTACCCATTATTTACTGATAATTAAAAAATTCTGATGCACGTTACACGAGTTAAAAATAAAAGTCGATGTGGACAAATAAACTTTATTTGAAAAATTTTATTCAGGGTGTTCTGATGTCACGTAGTATATCTACGTACAAAAATTTCAAAGTTAAAACACGAAGAAATTATAGTGGACATGCTAAACTGAATATCCAATAGATATGTTTTTACTATTCTAGAAGATATATTTTATTATTTGCCGTGATTACGTTCTGTTCAACCGCGTAATCTAGCAATCGTTTAAATTCTTCGTCTTGTTTAAGCTGAAGGTTGGCAATTTGTTCTTTTGAATAATCCAAAAGCTGTTGAGTATCCATATAACCCTAAAACAATAGATTGTTAACATGGCGAAGTAACTTAGGAAGTAGCAAAAAAATAATATAAATAAAATAATACATTCAAAACTTTAGCACAAGCATTTTCAATAGATTTCTTCATTGAATCGGATAATTTGTTATTATTGAGTTGTTCTAAAAGTGGCTTGACGGTCTGAAAGGAGGTGCTATTCTGTTGGATGATTGCCTTCATTGTTTCCATATAGGCGAGCTGAAGTTCTTTCCCAGTTTGTAATTTCGTTTGTTTCATTTCTGCAATCAATTCAGCAATCTTGTGTTGATGTTCCATATCGGCTTTCCTAATTGCTAAATCAGTTTCCCTCTCACGAGCTTTATATTCGAGTTCCAATCGATTTTCTGCATATTCAAGAGCCTTACTTGCTTCATTACCCATCTTGAAATATCTGCATAAAAATAAATGCGCCTAACTTTGTAGTATTTATAAAAAGAGTAGTAGTAACCGAACATATGAACGTGCTTTTGGAATCTAACCACATGTATTTATGCCAAATAAGGAAAGGCCTAGACTGGTCTATGCCAAATGAAATGTATTGGGTGCAGAATGTTACATTTTTTGTTGTAAAATGGTCGTTAGGTCATTAACGAAAGTTTTCTTCCTCTACTCATGGGGGAAGAAGGTTTTAAAGTCATCCAATCTATTATTGAATCGAATGGTTCTATTTTCGATAGAACAACATCTTTACTGAAGTTACTAGGGTCAATTAATGATAAGAACTTAGAGAAACGGATTACTAATATTCTTCAAGAGGGGCTTAATAGTTATAAGAGTACAAAAGAATTGCAATCATTATTGAGGCAAGCACTTGGTTTTTACAGCAGGAAAAGTGGGTTGACGCAAATAATGGTGAAATCCCTGCTAATGCAGTGTCGTACGCGGTATTTTTTTTATTGATTTTATTTTTTTTCGGCGATCTCGTTCACTAAGAATGAATAAAAACATATCCCCCATACAAAATTTTGGACGTAACGCTGATTCGAGTTAGGACATATAAATTTCGGCACATCATGTCGTCCATACAGAGCGTTATATGAGTGATATATAGGAAGTGTATCGGGTATGATTTTTTTCTGCTTGAGTATGGATAAAACTCAAATTATAATCTTTGCGAAAAACGTTCTTGATGCGATTCCAGGAACCCTCAATAATAGCGTCCAGGTTCCGAAATTGGACCCATGTCAGTTATGTGGACAAGCATTTATTCCACACCCCGCAAGTGGAATCAAAGAATTTACCTTGGCCAGTTGTGGGCATATCTATCATCAAAAGTGTCTCGAAAACATCTGCTAACCGTGGGGGCGAGATGCCCGAATATGGGGTGTAGATACAAAGATATTGAAACCTCCCTCACCTCGGATATTAGTGAGACAGGAACACAAGATCTAATGGAGATATCACCACAATTATCCACGATAGCTGGGCAGAAGGACCTTCCTAGCTTTATGACTGGAGGTGAACGATATCCTCAATTATTCGAAAGTGACCCCTTGCAGAGCGACGCTAATAATAAAGCGCAAGAAATAGATACTGCCCGCACAATAGATGAGAATGCTTCACCGCTCAAGCCAACTACTGAAATATGCTCCAAGTGCTCCGAATCCATCTCTCCAAAACTTTTAAAGCCAGTTATATTATTAACATGTAAACACGTTATTCATTTCGAGTGTATTGGCAACAAACGAAACTTATGTCCTAAATGCCCATCGGCGGATGATCTGGAAAAAGAAGGATATTATATCTCACCTGGCATCTCACTTAACGAATCTCCCAAAAAGAAAAGAAAGAAAGAGGAAGATAACGTTCATGAAAATAAGCTTAAAAAGATCTCAAAAACGCAAGTCATGATTCGAGAGTTATCAGTCATACCAATTTCCGATGAACCGTCGATCACCGCTCCTTCTGAAGATTCCAACATAGAAGATATATCCAATAAATTCTACCGCTTATATTATGAAGTCGATAATATTGAAAAGGGGGGGGGGGGGGGTCAAACAAATCGGGATGTGATTCATCATTATTTTCGGTTTGGGAAAGCTCTATCAGAACGGCTCATTAAGTTATTAAAGAGTAAGCCTCCCGCAAACAGCGTATACAGAACTAAACAAGAAAGTTAAAGAGCATCGCCCGAAAAATCTCAATAATGCTATGGTACGTAAAAGGACCGATACTGCCAGAAAAATTTATGATATATTTAGCGCTATTGGGGAGAATAAAATTTCGCGGGTTAAATCATTTATTGCATCTAGCTTTTCTAACTTAACTAGAAACGAGGTGAAGTATATCATGGAAAATTTTCCCTCTGATAAATAGTAGTTCTATTAACCCGATATTTATCTTTACCAGAATTATAATAAACTGCGATCATGAATAATTACTGCGCCACAAAAACACGTGATATCGTTCTGACTGAATATCCTTTCACATTTAAAATTTGTAAAATAGAGATATTATAATGAAAAAAATAATTCTACGTATCAAATAAAGTTTTAAATCATTTAATTATTATGATATTATTTATTATTAATATGTATAAATAGAATGATCTGTTTTTCTATAAGTTTCATTAGTATTTAAATCATAGTAATAATTTTCATCATCATCATCATTAGAAAAATCACAGAAGTTCATATCATCATTATCATTATCCTTATCATTGTTATTATTGAAAAATTCATCATCATCATAGTTGGAATCTTTATTATTAGACATCTTGGCTTTTGATGAATTATAATCTTAATCAATACTTGTCTTTAATAAAGTTTTTTCAATCTCTTCACATATCTTAGCATCCGGTAATGATTTAGATATAATAACATCTTTATTACATAAATATTCACTTATCATATCTTTTGAATTAGAGATATATAATAACTAGATAAAAAAAGTAAATATAGTACTTATCTCAGTTTCTGAAATTTTGGATACATGAATTTGATTATTACCATTGGTAATAGTTTTTGAATTCTCATAATTTTTAATGAAATTTATGATATTTTGTATTTATATATTGATTAATCTTAAAATATCACTTGTATTATAAGTTATTAACTTAATTTTATTTATTCTGATGTCATTTTCTCTAAATAATTTAAGAAATTTTTTAGTTTTATTAGTTCAAATTTGTAAATTATCTGGAATAATATTAAGTAAATATTTTAGCATTTCTTTATATATTATTGATCTTGCTATCTTTTCTTTTATCTTTTTATTTGTTATTATATTTTTTACTTTATTTTCAATTTCAAAAGAATAATTATATGATGTAAATGACTTAGTCATATCTAATAATTTTTAATAATTTTAAAATATAAAGGAATTTTATTAAATATATAACCATTAAAAAAATATATTGTCTAATAGTTTTTGATATACTCTACAAAACTATATATTTTTTTATCCTAGTTAGAATGTTTTTAATACCAATTTTAATAATGATAGAAAAATTTTTAGTATTACTAATATCATATATAATAATATAATTACCATATTTAATTGATAAAAAAATTTTATCTTATATATTATTGAATTCTTCCAGGAATTCTATGATAAGATTAATACTGTTTAACTACAAAAATAGTTATCTTATCTGAAAGTTCAAGTTTATAAATACTTATACATATCCCTATAATATATTATCAGAAATCCTAAAAATGAATCTGTCACTTTGAAATTCAATATCTCAAAATTTAATAATCTAATTTAAATAAAAATACTTCATTAAATTTGTCATGACTTTACAAATTTTATGATAATATCTTTATTTAAATAAGATTACTAGATTACAAGAAATTAGGTTCCAAAATAATAATTTCATTTTTAAAATTTCTGGTAATATATTATGGAGATGTATATAATACATAAAATAATATGAAAACTGATAAATTTTCATTAGACTAATAGAATTTAATGCACATGATATAATTTCTTTAAAATAATTAAATAAATAATCATAGTAAAGCTGTGAATATCACTTTATTTCCATTCAAAATAACTTGATATAATTAAGTTTGCAATGAAACTTCAGATAGAATATGCATATATGTTCTGTTATCTCAATAATCTAAAAAATAAGTATTTTTAATTATATTTATTATGTTTGAATAGTGAATATTATATTAATTACAACTTATCTCTTGTATATATATTCTTTATAATACAAAGTTAAATTGAGCAGAAAGGATATATATTACATAATAGTCTAATTTATTTGGATTAGGATTATATTATATATATATATTATATTAATATTTATAAACTATACTCTTTAAGAACTTATCAAATATTTTTGAATCTTATTATATCATCAACATTTATAAATATTATAACATAAAGTAAGCTATCAGATATTTTATCATTACAGAGAAGTGATTGTTTTTCATTATCTTTTATATTTATTTTTAAAATTACTAATATATTATTAGCAAATATATTATAATTGTAACTGTTATTGAACATGAATAATATGATTTTCTCTGAATAAGTATATTTAAATATTAAAATAACTCTCTTTTTTACCTATTTAATAATATTTTTATTTATCTATCAGCCATTATGATTTATATCAGAATATATTGTAATATAAGCTTCAGTATATACTAGCTATTTACTATCAGAAAGTAAATTATTAGTAGAATATTCATCTTCTGAAAGCTGAAATTATTTAATAAACTTATAGAAAAAGTTACTTATATAAATGCTAAGATCTTGTAACTTATAATGAAATTAACTTTTATCTGTCAGATTTCAAGTCTTAATAATATTATTATTTATATAAAAAATTAACTCATTATGAATAATAGAAATAATTTTAAGAATATTATATAAAAGTATAAGTAAGATTATCTAATCTATTCATAATTATCAAAATAAATATTCTTTAAGTGATTTTTATATTATTTATTAAAAATATATAATTATTTATATATAGTTAAATATAAGATACTTATCTTCTTATCTATTTCAAGAATAAGAATAATCTTATTCTTAATAAATTTTACAGAATTAATAATATTTAACTTGAACATATATATATATAAATATTTAGTAATTTATAATTTAAGCTTTTTATTAAGAAGAAAAAATCTAATATTTATATAATAATCATATTTAGATATAATAATTATACTATTAATAAGATATTAATTTATTTAAAAGTAAATAAGTTACAAATATTATAAATCTTTATTCAAATTCTAAGTAATAAAATTACTTATATTCATCTTTATGAATTTTTAATTCTGAATTAAATAAAGAAATTAACTTATTATTTGAAGTTATAAATTATTTTTCTTTTTTTTAATAATAAATTTAGAGATTCTAATATAAATTTATTATCATTATTATAAATATTATTAAATATAAAATTATTATTATTAGTATTAGATTTAGTAACTTTACTTATTAAAAATATATTCTCTTATTACATAATATTAATTCTGTAATATCTTTATATATTAATATATATAATTTTTTAGTTTATATATTTGATTTTTTTTGCATTCTTAACTAATTATTTTAGTATATTTAATTATAATTTTTGTAATAATTATATGTTTTTATTATTATTAAATTATATTTTTTTACTTTTCATTCAAAAAATATTAAATTATGATTTATTAATAATATTAGATTTAATATCTAATAGCTTGTCTTATAATAGAAATATTTTATTAGAAATTTCTATTTTTTTCTAATATTTTCTAATAGTATTCCAAGATTATTTGACTTATTTATTTAGTTTTAATATTAAAATTCTATTAAGATAAAAAAATAAAAAATTATATTAAAATTATTATAAAATTTGTAAAATAATATAAAATAATATAATTTTAATAGTTATCATATAATTTAAAACTAATTATATAATTTAAAAAATATAAATATTAGAATTCTAACTAATAAAATTATAAATTTAATATAAAAATAATTAACAAAATTTTTAGTAATAACTTAGCTATTTAATATGATTAAGTTATTTATATTATATCAATATAATATTTTTTTATATCTAATTTAATAGCTTTTTCAAATCAATAAACTAAATATTATATAGAATTCTCAATTATTTTTTCTAATAAAAGTTTATTATTTATCTTAATAGATTTTATTATATTGATAAATTTAGTAAAATTCTATTTTGAAATTTATTTAATAATTTAATTTTTATTAAGTTCTGATATTTTATCAAATAAATCAAAAGAATATAATTTTGTATTATTATTAGCTAAAGATCTTTGATTCTATTAAGATATTAATAATTTTTATAATATATACTAATTTTAAATTTGATTATTATAGTTTTTATATTACATAATAAAGTGAATTATTCTAATAAATTAATATCTGAAAATAAATTAAAGTTATTATTAGAAATAATTATAGAGTAACTAAAGATAGATTATAATATTATAAATAGTTTTAAATTTTGATTATTATAAGATAATTCTAATAAATTACTATTCAAAAATAAATTTTAATCTTGAAATTTCTTTTTTTTTTAATACTTTTAATTATCTCTTTACTAATCTTTTTTTTATATTTTAAATTTAGAAATTTATTAATTTTCTTATCTTTTAATAATTTAGTTTTTATATAAATTAGTAATATAAACTTTATATAAATAAGTAATTCAGAATATCAAATTAAAGATATATTAGAAATTATAAACTTCATCTCTTCCTAAAATATATTAGAATTTAAAACTTTATTAATTATATCAAATATAATTATAGTAGTAGTATTATTATAAGTTTATCTATTTATGAATATTATTAGAATTCAAAGTATTATCAATTATATTAAATACTAAGATATTAGTAATATAATTATAAGTCTCTAAGTTATCATAATATTATTTATTTGAAAGTATTATTAGATTTTATTAAAGAATATAAAATATCTTTTATAAAAATATTTTTTTTCTTTTTTTTTTATTTTAATATAATAAGTCTAGTCTCAAGCTTTATATTTTTATATTCTAATTTCTTAACTTTAATATTATACTTTTTATTTTTCTTAATAATTTGCTTTAGCTTTATATTTTTAGCTTTAATCTTAATAAATTT